GGGATCATCTTAGAATACTGCTCTGTTGGGAGCCAAATTTCAGGGCTGGGCATGAGATCCTAGGCCATGCTTGGCAGGCCACATAGTTAACCTTTACATAGCAGCTCCTTAGAAACTCAGCTCAAGAAAAAAAACAACCTGACCCAGTCCTCCACCCACAGGCTCAGTCACCTAGGCAACCCCTTCCTGGACCTCTTACTCATGAACTCTTTACCCTGCCAAACATCCTCTTTGTGGCTTCCTAATATCCTGCCTATACCAACACCTGGAGCATAAACAACCCATTCTGCCCCGCCCCATATCCTGACTATATAAGCTAGCCTGAGAAAAGTAAAGTTTGCCACTTGATCAAAATCCTGTCTTATGGTCGTTCTTTCTGCATCTCTTGTCCCCATTTCCTATCCCTGACTCTCTTGCCCCAGGTTGATGTCCTGCAGGTCAGGACACTGCTCCACCTTAGTCCTTGAGGCAGGGTGGCCAATAGCCACCCAGCACTTAGGTGTGTTTCTGGGGATCCAAACTCTGGTCCTCATGTTTACAAGCCTGAACCATTTCCCCAGACCACAAAGACCCTTTGGAGATGCTTCTGTTTTCATGAGTATGGAGAATTGAAGCCATTTGGAGAGCCTGGTTTACTAAATGTTTATACTAAATGTCAGTGATCACCTTTTCCGCTCCTTAGATCCACCTTTGGGAGGGGGCTTATTAAAAATCCTAATGATTATATTTCACCTGTGATCAGTGAAATCATGGTCCCTTGGGCTGGGACAGTAGCATAGAATTTATGAGTTTTCTGGGTGATTTCAACACAAAACCATAATTAGAACCACTACTTTAGAATGTCACGGTGAGGGTGGCACATCCCGTATATGTCCCACCAACTGACAAGGTTCAGACACAGGGTCAACCCATTTGGAGAGGTCAACTTTCTAGAATGTCCTATGCTTCTTTGTGTTTGATTAGTGTTTGAACAATATGCACCTGTCACCAAATAAACATAAGCCCAGAGGGTCGGGTCCTAAGGAGTTAAGACTTCTCAGTGAGATGACTCCTCATGTAAAGACACTTGTGGTTGAGTCTGAGACCTACATGGTAGAAAGAGAGAGGCAATTCCTGCAAGCTGTCCTCTGACTCCACACACGCACCATGCTCTTACACTAACACACACACACACACACACACACACACACACACACACACACACACACACACACACACACACCACGCTCATGCTCTAACACACACACACACACACACACACACACACACACACACACAAACCTTTTCAGATGAACTGGGTTTGGTGGCGCATGCCTGTCATCCCAAGTGGCTGAAAGATTGAGGGAAGAAGATGATCCAAGAGAGAGGCCAGTCTGTGTATGGAGTTCAAGGCTAGCCTGGATTAGACAGACAGACAGACAAGCTAGCTAGGTTAGGTGAACCCTGCATGTAGCCATGGCTGAGAACTGAACTCTGCATGGTGCCTGCTTTGTTTGGAAGGGGACGCAGAGGCCAGGTTGCCCCCATTAACCTCCTGGCACACTGTCACCCTGCAGCAGGTGTCACAGGAGCGGATGTCACCCTTCAGCCGAATCACGCCGCGCTGAGCACTGACTCTCTCTGATCCAGATTTATGGCCTTGGACAAACCACAGAACCTTGCTTTGGCATGGTCCCATCCTCCCCAGCACTAATTAAGGCCTAAATAATTCCCATCAGTTTGTGCATGAAACAAATGGACCTTAATTTAAGACAACTTCTCCATTGTGTCCCACAGTTTGCAGGTTTTCATAAACATACACTAACTGGTTTCTTCTTTAAAGAGAAGATATTTCCGTCCAGTCATTCTGAAAATGTGTTTTTACTAGGTTTTGGATCACATTTATGACTGAGATGATAACTGATAATAAGATAGCAACATGTACTCCATTCGGCCGCTAATCAATGTGATTATCACCAGAGTCTTTCAATTTAATTATTGCTTCTTATCATCATCCAGTTCATTAAAATTTTGGCAGGTAGGGGTGGAAATGGTGCAGATAGATGAGTGAAGGATGGTAGCTGAATGATAAGACCACTGACACAGAAAAGGCAGAGGTGAACTGAATTCATTCAATAATGAGTGAAATAACCACACCGCACTGCCTCTACACTCTGCCTCCTCTACCCTGGGCAGAACAAGGGCATAGCCAAACAAGGCATGGGCTTATGGCTTTGGGTTTGACCCTGGCTAGATAGGGTTAATCTTGTCATCATTAAAACTAGACACATATGCACATATGGTTTGCAAGTGTGGGAGCATGAGTGGAATCCACGGCCTTCCTTTTCTTCCTCCTGGAAATGGGGCAGGAGCAACTTACATGTTTAGTCAACATTGACGTGCTACTGACTGTAAATTAGAGAAGGGGGCACAGGCAAAGCAGGGAGCAATCAAGTAGAGCCCGGACTCTGAACCAGTGGCCCCAGGAGTAGCACATGGGGATCTGACAGCTGGAACAGGCAGAGGCGAGGGAGCAAGCCTGAAGATTACAGGGGTCTCGAAATCTGTGAGGCGTAAGATAGCCACCACCATCTATACATGGAGAGCTGATCTGGATGAACTCACATGGAATGAGGCTCAGAGAAAAACAGAACGAGAACAATAATTTGTTTGGAAAGATTACTTTTAAAATCACTTTTATTATTGTCTTGTATTTTGCCTACATGTGTATCTGTGCACCATGTACATGCCTGGTGCCCAGGAAGGACAGATGAGGGAGGGTGTGGGATCCTCTAGAGCTGGAGTAACAGCTAGTTGTGAGTCACTGAATATAGGTGCTAACAAATGAACTCGGGTCCTCTGCTAGAGTAGCAAGTGTTCTTAACCTCTGAACCATCCAGCCCCCAAAACCATGTATTTTTCCAGTGGTGCCAGGAAAACAAGTTCTGGCGTCTGGTTGGACTATGCTTTTCTTGATCACCCATAGCAATGTCAGAACAGTCCAGCTCATTTCAATCTCCAGCAGCAGCAAGAAGGCAGTGTGGCCATTAAAAAACACAGGGGAGAGCTGGGGAGGAGATGGCACAGTGGGTAAACTGCTTGCTGTACAAGCATGAGGACCTGAGTTCCGATTCCTAGCACCAACAAGAAAAGCTGGGCACGATAACCTTCCACTTGCCTGTAACCCTAATGCTGGTGCAGCCGAGATAGGAAGATACCCAAGGCAGCCTAGCAGAGTAGAACTGCAAGTTCAGTGAGAGAAGTGTTCTCCAAAATTAAGGCAGAGAACAACTGAGAAATAGACACAACATCGACCTCAAGTGGGGAAGAGTATGCCATGCCTTGTTAAAAAATAGCATACTGTATGATTCAGTTTGAGAGGAACTGGTTTAAAAAAAATCACTAATATCTTGTAATGTGAGTCAAAGGGACATGGGCATTCATCTCTGAATCATGGGATTACTCTTGGCTTTCCTTTGGTTTTGGAGCTTTTGTTTTTTGTTTTTTTTTTCTTTTTTTCATTGCACATTTTAAGTTTTAAGCTGTTTATTAATTTTTCCAATCAGGAAAGGTCATGCTTGCCAAAGTTAGCATGCACCCTTTATGACATTGTTTCCAGACATTGTGGCCCGAAGAGTGCACCTATTTTAGGCTGTGGACAGGGATGGCCCTCTCTACTTCCTTTGTGAAACCACACTAAGGTGATGCTCACTATGGAGCTACGGAACCTGGTGGCAGGAGAATACCCCAGCTAGTGATATTATTCTCTCCGGAAAGTTCAGAAAGCACGTGGCTGAGACCACTTGTGGGGAGATCAATCAAATTTTTTATCTGGAAAAAAAAAATCAAGGTTTTATAGGTTATATGACAACCACTCACCTCTGTGGCTGAGAAGCATCATATACACTGGATGAGTATGATTGGGTACCAATAAATCTTTATTTATAACGCAAGAAAGTAGTTTGGCAGGGCAGTGGTAGTACATGCCTTTAATCCCAGAATAGAGGCAGGCAGATCTCTGTGAGTTTCAAGACAGTCAGGTATACACAGAGAAATCCAATCTCAAAAAACAAACAAACAAACAACAACAACAACAACAACAACAACAAAAAGAGAGATAGAAAGTAGGGAAGTAGTTTATGCTGGGGAGATAGCTTAGTGGCTAAAGCACTTAGCATACAACAGTGAGGTTTCTAGGACTCACATAAATGCTGAATGGATGTGACAGCGCATCTTACAAGACCCTCAGAACAAGGGGCTAGCCAGACTAACCAGACCAGGCAGCTGTGAGTTCAAATGAGAGACTCTGCCTCAATGAATAAGGTGGAGAATGATCAAGGAAGACGAGTGGCATCAACCTCAGGCTTCCATCTACACATAAGCACACACATGTACTCTTCTGCACTTGGGTACACACACACACACACACACACACACACACGCAGGTGCAGCATCCACACATACCTATGGACAGAAAACCAAATCAAACCAAAACAAAGTAGTTTGTCACCACCTGTCGAATCCAGCTTGCCTGTCATAATTCGGGGAGCAGAAGCAACCAGCTATCAGCCAGGTCAGTCCCTGCTGTTGCCATTATAGAAAGCATCCCACAAGCACCTCCCGTTCCGTTCCCAGATTCTGTTTCTGACTTTTGCATTTGACATCACTTTTCAATGTGTATTGGAATTTCTCAGAGCTGAGAGTCTGGGAGCACACACCCTGTAATCCTAGCACTTGAGAGGTGCAGTCGGAAATGGAATCAGAGAAACCCGAGTTTCCATTGTCCTCTCCACTTCTCATGGCAATTACTTCCGTTGCAGAGAGGCCCATTGGAAGGACACACAAATTAGAAGAGAGGAAAGCTAGGCTGTAAGCTATACCAGACCTAATGCCAGGGGTCCAAGGCCAGAACCTCTCTGAGGTCCCTGGGACAGCCCAGGGCCGGGTGAGGTACTGTGACATTCAGAGGCCAAGACTTGAGCGACAAACAAGAGTCAGAGGACCACAAACGGGCTACTCACGCTGTCGTTGCTTCCTTTGTTGTCTTCGTACTTGGTTTCTATATGGATGGAGAATTTCGGCAGAAAGGAACACTGCGGAGAAAAAGCAGACTTTGATTAGCACTGCAGTTTCCTCTCGTCATGTCTTTAGTGTGGCTTGGGGTTGCTCATCTGACATTAGGTTGGGAGCATAGATCTACAGCAGAAATGGTAAGATATATTATACATCATTAACCACATTCTGTGGGAGAGGCCGCTGCCATGAACACCACTTCTCCCATAAGTCAGTAAGCAGTGCTGAGAAGAGGGACGGACCAGCAGCACATTTCCAAAGGGAATATGAGCTGTGAACCCTGATGTCAGTGAGGGATTGTGGACACCAGCTACGGAAGCCAACTCCAGGTCTGAGGGGCTCACCTGCTCACCAGCGACCTCACCACCCCCCCCATGTTAAAGTATATGTATACAAAATTAGGGAGGGAGGTGGCACAGTACAACCTTGAGATCAGAGATTACTTACTGGTCAGCTAGGTGCATTGAGCACCTGTATGTGTGGCCTGTATATATACATACGTGTGTGAGTGCACACATGTGTGCATGCAATGTGCGTATACAGAGACTGATGATTTCTGTTGGATATTTTCCTCTATTACTCTCCATCTCAATTTTGGGAGGGTGTAGTATGAGACAGGGTCGCTCTATGTGGTCCTGGTTGTCCTGGAATTCACTGTGTAGAGCAGGCTGGCCTCAGACTCACAGAGATCTTCCTGCCTCTGCCTCCAAATGCTGGGATTAAAGGTGTTTGCC